GAAAAGGGAAATAGATTGTTCTGTGACAATCATGAGGTGTGAGGGGGGGAATCTCTCTCTCTCTCTCTCTCTCTCTCTCTCTCTCTGTCCTTGCTGCCGAGATTCTTGCCAGAGTCCTCCTTAATTGGCTGATCCTTCACCTGGAAGATGGTCATCTACCCAAGAGCCAGTGTGGTTTCAGAAAGGGTCAAGGAACAGTTGATATGTGTTCGCTGCCTGACAACTCCAGGAAAAATGTCAGGAGCAGAACAGAAGTTTGTACACAACATTCATCAATCTAACCAAGGCCATTGATGCTATTAGTCATAAGAGCTTGTGGAAGATCATGGCAAAATTTGGTTGTCCAGAGAAGTTCATTAGTATTTTATGCCAGCTTCACGAAAGACATGCTTGCATGGGTGCTGGATGATGGGCAATGCACTCCCGCTTTCCCAGCCACCAGTGGAATGAAGCAGGGCTGTGTGCTTGCTCCCATGCTTTTTAGCATTATGTTCTCAGTGATGTTGTTGATTGAACACTTTCAATTAGGATAAAAGGTCAGTTACTGCACTGATCATAAATCATTTAACTTGAAAGGGCTACAAGCCAAGACTAAAGTGGAGGGAGAGTTGGTGCGCAGCTTTTTGTTCTCAGATGATTGTGCACTCAATGCAGCCTTGGAGGCTGAGTTGATTCTCTGCTGCTTGTGCTAATTTTAGCCTGACAATTGTTGTTGTTCAGTCATTTTTCAATCATGTCCTACTCTTCTCGACACCATTTGGGGTTTTCTTGGCAAAGATACTGGGGTGGTTTGCTATTTCCTTCTCCAGCTCATCTGACACATGAGGAAACTGAGGCAAATGGGACTAAGTGATTTGCCTGGGGTCACATAGTTATTAAGTATCTGAGGTCAGATTTAAACTCATGAAGATGAGTCTTCCTGGCTCCACTGCACCACCTAGCTGCTCATGGCTTGACAGCACCAAGAAAACACAGGTTCTCCATCATTCATGTGAAGCCATTGGTTATAGCAAATGGAGAACTTTGAATGCTGTGGATAAGTTTATTTTCCAGGGATGTACACATAGATGATGAGATTGACATATGCATTTCCAGAGCTAGCTGTGTTTGGGAGGCTCTGAAGGAAAGTGTGAGAGAGATGAGCTATTAGGCTGCCTACCAAACTGAAGGTGTACAGAGCCATTGTGCTGACCTCACTGTTGTATGCCTGTGACACCTGGACAGTCTACCAGCATCATGCCAGGAAACTGAATGTCTTCCATTTGAATTGTCTTAGGAAGATTCTGAAGACCACCTGGCAGGATAAGGTACCGGACATTGAGGTCCTTTCTCAAATTAAACTCCCAAACATTCAAACTCTACTGCAGAGAATGCAACTCTGAAGGGTTGGCCATGTTGTTTGAATGCAAAATGTATGTTTGCCTAAAAGACTATTTTACAGAGAACTCACTGTAGGCAAGCGCTCACATGGGTCAGAAAAAGTGATTACAAGGACAAGGTCTCTGAAGAACTTTGGAATTGATTGTGAGATATGAGAGACACTGGCATAGGACTGCCCAGCATAGTGTATACCCCCATCAAAGAAGGCATTGTGCTATATGAGCAAAGCAGAATTGCAATAGCTCAAAAGAAATGTAAGATGCACAAATTTAGAGACCGCTCCACTCCAAATGCTCATATGGACTATTTGTGCCCCACCTGTGGAAGCACTTTCTGAGTTCGTATTGGTTTGATCAGTCACAGGTAAACACACTGTACCTTGACCCCCACAAGTGATGTCATTTTGGTCTTCTTTGATCTCAAAGTACAACTATCAACCCACCAGTGAGGTTTGATCTGAACTTAGGTGTTCCTGACTGGAGGCCCAGCACACTATCTACCTACTATACCATCTGGATGCCTAGGTCTGTGTCCTCTTTCATTTCCACCCACACTCCCCCCACACCTGAATCTCAACTGTGGCTCCCTAACCGATAACTTGATATTTCTCCAAGATCAGGGTCTTGTCCTGTGTCCCAGGCTTCCGATGTCTAGACACCTAAGGCTTAATGCCTGAGCCTCAGGTCCTATAATCTAGACCCCAACTAGCGGCTGCTATTCCAATTTGATTCTAGCTACTCACATGCCTGAACTCTAGACTTGGCTCTTTTCCCCAGACCTGCCAGTCTGGCCCAGAATCCATTTTGTTGCCCAAAGAGCCCAGATATGAATCGCAACCTCAGTCCTTTTTTTGAGGCATGGAACTCCAAGAATAGACTCTATTCTAGAAGTAGAAACTGCCTCCTGTGTGTCCAGGGAACAGCTCTCCAACTGATAGGGGGAGACCATCCCACTGATGTCCACAAGGGACTAGGCTAGGGAGTGGCCACCATCTCCACCCACACCAAATACCTCCCAACCCCACCTTTCCCTCCTCTGCCCTCCGGCCAACAAAGACATTGAAGAAGTGAGACAAGACCACAAGGGGGTGCCCTTGGCCAACACAAGACAATAATGCCAGTCTCTTAGACTACTCAATTCCTTACTACAAAAGAAAAAAATTCTCTCCCAAGAACATCCTTTTTTTTCTTTTAATTTTAAAGTAAACCGCAATGAATGAGAAAGTGTCTAATAAAATGTTTGTTCATTTGAGGGGGATAGTTTAAATAATCTCTAGCGTCTCTTCCAGGAGGCAGCTAGGTGACTCGGGAGAGCACAGGGCCTGCAGTCAGGAAGATCTGAGTTCAAATTCATCTTCAGACACCAAGAAAACCCCACAAACAGCATTGGCATGGTCATGAAGAACCAGACGTCTCTGCATGACAACAACCCAAAGATCTCTTCCAACTCTAAATTCTAGATGTTTGATTCATTTATTCTCCATTATTCTCCAATGAAAAGGTAATTAGGAGAATGAAGGCCACAAGTGCCTTTGATAGATCTGTTATAGGTAGAGACCTCCTCTAAAGTTCTCCTCCATTACCTACCTTGTCATCGTCATTTGAAGGTAACCAGGGGTGGATACTTATGTTGCTGCTGCTGTTTCTCGAAACTTCATTCTCTTTTGGCTAAGCAATGGGGTTAAGTAACTTGCCCACGGTCATATAGCTAGTAAGTGTTATGTGTCTGAGGCAGGATTGGAACTCAGGTCCTCCTGAATTCAAGGCCAGAGCTCCATCCACTGCACCACCTAGCTGCCCCCTTCTCCTTCATTCTTGAAGAGGACCATTACATCAGGAAGGTGATGCCATGATATATAAGTGAATTGGATTTAAGTGAGGGAGGGCTGTGCAAAGTCACCAGCCTCACTGTCTCCTCCAGAATCATCTGAGTCCATTGACCAGATATAGATCAAGACAACTGGAGATGGCCCAGGATGCATTGGGGGACCTTGGCCTTTTCAAGCTAAGGTCTTCCACAGGTCTCAGTTTGACTGAGGCAAAGTCCATTCAGTAATTAAGGCTTAATAAGAAATGAGGCAGAGAAAAAAAAGAGACCTCTTTACCTCTTCAAAAAAAATCGATCTGGGAATGGGGCACCAGCTCTGCTAGGTCATATATAACAAGATAGAAAGGCTTCAGGTGCAGACCTGCTGAGAACATGGGAACTAGGCTAGCTGGGTTTGAAGATGTCCATAATGAGAAGATTGACCACTCGATGATGAATTTGTTAGTTGGGCAAGGGAGAGATCTTTTTGCAGCTGGGGAAACTGAGGTCTAGAGAAGTGAAATGACCTTGGTCATATGATAAGTCAAAGTTAGTACCAGGCAGAGACTGTCTCCTAACTCCTAGTCCAATGCTCCCTTCCATCTCACACCATACTTTTCTGTTTCCCACTTAATCAATCAGAAGGTACGGTATGCTCCGTTCTAGGTTACGCACTAGGAAAAGGACAGAAATAATGTAACATCCTCCAGGAGAAGAGGATTAACAGCTCAAAACTTGTTTGCATAAGATTCTCCTCCTTGGTGGTGATTGATTATTCAATTCTCTATGCCTGCATGAGGGTTGGAGTTGATTAGAGCTGGAGAGAAGATCCTTCTGTTCTTCTGACTTCCAGATTTGAGAGAGAGGTCCCATTGTCCCAGATTCACTTCGGGGAGAGGTCCTTGAAAGGAAAGAAAGACTCTGGGAAGAGGTCTACCTGCATCATGTCTTCTTCCTTTCTCTCCCTTCAGGAGCCTCTCCAAGAAGAGCACCTTCTCCCTCAAAGCCAAAGATCAGGCTCCCTCTTTTCCCAAGCTCTCTCCAACTCTTGCCAGCTTCACCCCCTCCAAGCTCCAGCACTGAGTAATCAATCTCCACCAATAAGGATAGTCTTATGCAAATGAACTTGGAGCCTCTGGCTACCCAGATATGAGCCAACTAGATGGCATCATCCAGAATAATAAGGGACAAGTTGGGTAGCCCAGACTCTTAAGTACTGGGAGCGATATGCATGAGGGCTAGAATAATTACAGAAAGCTTCCTAAAGAAATGAGGTACTTGTTGTGGGCTCTGAAGGATGATGGGATTTGGACAGTCCATTGGAGCAGGAGGTGGTCCTTGGCAAAAATCGTTAAAACTGATACATTTATCTTCAAGTCCTCCTTCCCCTAACCATGATCACCATACACATACCCTTTTTGTTCCTAAGAGCAGATTAAAAAACTCATCCATATTAAGAAGATAGGGCTGAATGTATTCACCCTCCCAAGAGGATTTGCATTTCCAAAAAGGAGTTTGGGAAGGGCAATACTTAACCCAAAGGAATGGAGTTCTAACAGAATTTTAAGTTCCCTGGCAAGTCAATGGGAGAGAGAGAGAGACTTTGGAGCTAGGACTGTCACACTGTACCAAGTCAGCAACTACTTTCTCTATTTCTGAGTGAAGAAATCTCTAGTCCAGGCCCCTAGCAACTGGTGGAATGTAGGATATTATGAGAGAAGGGGATTGTGATGGCGGCTGAGGGTGGAATCTGGTGAGGCCACGCCAGTGAGAGTGCTCCTTTGGCTCAAATCAGATCCATTTTGGTTGTTCAGATGACAGCAGAGGTCAGAGAGAGTCTGAAGGCTGGTTGTGATGAGGGTGAGGGCTGTCTGGCTGATCCAGTATGTCCTATCGACCCTCCAGTCCTGGAAGAGCTAGGGGTTTCCATGATAAGAGTAAGACTCTGGGCCTTGACTACCCTTACCCTAGTTATTCTCAGTGGTCTGATCGGGGTATCATTAAATAGGGGCAATCAGGGGACTGGGGTTATCCAAACACATTTGATCTCCTTAAGGCCACCAAGGATGCTGGATAGGATGGCATGCTCTTCCAACAAAAAGGAAATTTTACACTGAAATATCATCCCTTGACCTATTCGCTTTTCCTCCTATACCTCACTATATACCTCATTGGGCAACTAGGTGGTGCACTGGATAGAGCGCCTGAGCTGGAGTCAGGAAAACTCATCTTCCTGAGATCAAATCTAACCTCAGATACTCACTAGCTGTGTGATCCTGGGCAAGTCACTTAACTCTGTTTGCCTCAGTTTCCTCACATGTAAAATGATCTGGAGAAGGAAATGGCAAACCATTCCAGTATTCTTACCTAGAAAACCCCAAATGGGGTCACAAAGAGTCAGATATGACTGAAATAAACCTGATGGAACAACAATATACCTCATTGATCTCTCTACAGCCTTATTGACATTTCTGCCTCTCTAGGTTTTTGTGACACTGCCCTCTCCCGGTTCTCCTCCCACCTATCTGACCTATCGTCAGTCTCTGCTGGATCTTCATTCAGGTCATACCCATTAACAACGAGGGTCCCCAGAGACGCCATCCCTGAGCTCTCCTCTCCCTCTACACAATTTCCCTTGGTGATCTCATCATGTCCCACGGATTCCTATCTCTGGCATCTCAGCAACCCTGGATTCCTTCTAGTCTTTGCTAAAGTTCCATCTTCAACAAGGGGTTTTTCCCCAGGTCTCAATCTTAGTCCCTCCCCTCTGAGATTATCTCCATTTTACCTCTGTATGTGTCCTATTTGTATAAAGCTGTTTGCACATTGCCTACCCCTTTAGACTGTGAGCTCCTTTGAGAGCAGGGACTGCCTTTTGCCTTATTGGCACATCCCCAATTGCTTAGTACAGTGCCTAGTACATAGTAGGAGCCCAATAAATACATGCTTGTTGACTGACTTATTGGGAGCCTGGCATCTTTCACAGTTTCCTTAGTCAGCTCTCAAAAACAAAACAAAACATGGTGAAACCATCAAAGTTGTTCCACAACCCCCGCTGCTGCACTTTCCCGTGTTCATCTTCCCCCTCCATGCATTTCACCTACCTTTCACTCCCTTCTGCTCACTACCAAGGCCATAGGATTCAGAATTCAAAAGAACCCTAAAGATCATCTAGAAAAGGGGTGCTTAACCTGAGGTCCATGAACTTGATTTTATATATAACATACATATGTACATATACACATACATATATATACATATGTATTATTGTGTGTCTATGTTTATATATGTATGTCTGTATGGATACATGTATATGTGTACAGTTGTCCTTTCCACATCGTGGGGGCTGGGATGCAGCACCCCCACGATCTGGAAAATCCACGTAAAATTTTTTGGCCCTCCCTTCATACTAGAGAAGAAGTCTGAATTATTATTGTACTAAAAGTTAAAATATGTTGATATTATATACTACTATACATATATTTTATGCATTTCTGAGTTTCTAAACTTTTTCTATCATCTACTGGCCGATGTGGGTTGTCTGCAGCTTCGACAAAACTCCCCAAAAATTCCCATTTAATTTCTTATGTCAACCTGGAATATATCAAAATTGTGATGGGAAAAGTCATGATATGGAAGGGATAACTGTACATGGATATGTATATATGCACATACATCTGTATATGTACATTTGTGTTATGTGTTCATACATTTATGCCTGTGTGTACATGTATGTATGTTGTGTGTTTGTACATGTATGTGTGTGGCTGTTTCAACATCATTTTTTTTTTGTAATCCTGAGAAAGGATGACCAAAGGAGTCCATGACGCAGAAAAGGTAAAGAACTCCTGATTTAGAACAGCCCCCTCACTTCACAGATTGAAATAAAAAGGACAAAAACAAAACCTGAGGCTCAATGAGGGATCATGCAGGTAGTGACAATGGCCTGGATTTGAAAACAGTCCTTTGCCTCCAAATCCTGGCATCTTTCCCATCAGTGGAGTGAAAGGACCTGCAGAAAAGATGGGAGGGACTCATGTCTGTCTCCTCATAATAGCAGGGTGGGGGCCATATGTCTTCCCTCCTCACAACAAGTGGGTGGGACCACATGTGTCCTCTCACAAAAGAAGGGTGGGGACTGTAGGTTGACCTCCTCCCAACTAAGAGGGTAGGGGCCTGCCTCCTCACACCAGAAGATCCCTCATGGAGGGGCCATGTCTCTTCCGTCCTCTGTAACCCCCATGGCACACAATGTAGGGCTGACCTCATGTTGACAGAGGTCATAGAATCACAGAATTTTAGAGCTGGAAAGAGGCCTTAGAGATCACTTTAGTCCAACTGCCTCATTTTGTAGATAAGGAAATCAGAGAAGTAAGAGTGACTTCTCTAAGGTCATGCAGTGACAGAACAGGGAGGGACTAGGATGCAGGTCCCCCTACTCCCTTGCTCCAGAACTTGTAGTTTAAGGGACACTAAGAAAGCCCAGCCTCCCAGTCATCACTGCTCCTGACCCCTCATTTTCCCCTCATTGGTCTATTTCCAGGTTTGAAACTCCAACACTCTGAGCTTTGCTCGGTAGCCTGTCGACTTTTTAAAAATCACAAATCCCCCTGAGAGGGATGACACTTTTGTTGTCAATGAGTTGATCAGAGATTTTACTAGGGGAAAGGGAGAGAGGAGGCCCTAGGGTATTTTTTTAAAACTGTGCCCAGCTCATCAGATCTCTCTCTCTCTCTCTCTCTCTCTCTCTCTCAACCTCTCTCTCTCCCTCCCTCCCTCCCTGTCTGCTCTTGCAGGACCCGCCATATGTAACCCAAGACTCCTCCTATGACTTCCTAGAGGATGGTGGGGCCAATGTGGAGAGCAGCCCCCAAGAAGAAGTGAAGCAGATGAAGGTCCAGGTCACCGAGCTTCTCCCCTTGAAGGCAGCTCCAGGCAAAGGGCCGGCAGGCGATGAGCCAGAACCTTCGGTGGAGCTCGGGGAGGGAGCGGCTGAACCCCCCACCGAGATGGAGCTAGAGAAGGTGCGGATGGAGTTTGAACTGACCCGGCTGAAGTACCTGCATGAGGAGAACGAGCGTCAGCGGCAACATGAGGAGGTGATGGAGCAGCTGCACCGGCAGGCACCACCTCAGCTGGTAGGTGCCAGGAGGAGGGGATCATGGGGGCTCGTGGGAGACTCACCACCTGCCCAGGAGGCTCAAGTGTCAGGCCTAACGTTGCCATAGATCAAAGGTGCAGTAATCATAGGATTGAAAGGATGGAAGGGGGCCTTTGAGGTCATCTAATTCAAAGCTTCTTCTTTTTTTTTTTTTTTTTTTTTTTTTTTGGCGATTGGGGTTAAGTGACTTGCCCAGGGTCACACAGCTAGTAAGAGTGAAGTGTTTGGTCTGAGGCTGGATTTGAACTCAGATCCTCCTGACTTCAGGGCTGGTGCTCTATCCACCTTGCCACCTAGCTGCCCCCATGGAGTTTTGTTAGCACCACAGAGTCTTAAAGGCTAGGTGGGGCCTTGGAGGTCATTTCCCCTACTCAATGCATCAATTTTCTCTATAAATCATTGCTGACAAATAGTTATCTAGTTTTTGTTTGAACTTTTCCAGTCATGGGGAGTTCATTGCTTCTGGGTGCTGCCCGTTACAAGGCAATTGGACAGTTCTGTTAGAAAGTTCTTCCTTTTATTGGGGGAAAACTTGTCTCTAATTAGTCCTAATTCTAACCTCTGGAGATAAAGAATAAGTTTGATGAAATTCCCATGTGATAATCTTTTAAATATCATGCCCCCCAATCCTCTTCAAGTTAAAAAACCTGAATTCCCTCAATAGTTACTTTTGTCTAGATGGACTCTAGTTTATCGATGTAATTCAATTATTTTTTACTCAACATCTTTCATAAAATGTGATGTCCAAAGCTGTAAATAATTCTTTAATAACATTCAGACCAATGGAATATTTGAGACCCTTCCCTACCTCTTGGATCTGGAAAACCATATTATTGTCGATAGAACCTACAATCACATTAGCTTTTTTAATAGCCAATCATATTGTTGGTTCATATTGAATTGATAGCCTTTTGAATTGGTGTCATGCCAGGTCTCCTGCTTTCTTTTCTTAGGCAATTGATTTTGTGACATAAAATACCAGATTTTCTGTCCTCTACTTCAAGGAGCTGTGATTTTAACAATGTGGATACTCCTTCCACATACAAGAATCACAACCCCACTACAAGTTAGTGGATGGACTTTAAGAACTGCCGTGGCTAAATAAGCCTCTCCAAACTAGGCTAGACTCACCGAGGACAAGAGGACAACAACCGGCCCACCCTCAAAGACTTATTCACCTCGGTGGTGATACCTGCCAGTATTTGTGTTCTGCTGACATAGACCTTCCCATTAGCCCCGCTAACCCATCACAATTCTGCTCTTCTCCCTCTCCCTGGAATACAGGTGCCCCTAAGCTCTAGAAAGCTAATGTCAGGGTTTCACAAGTTCTGATAGGGCCTATCCTTTTGAAAATATTTTGAGCGGGTGTCATAATGAAGATCAGCCTAGCTACTAAGGAGGTTCCATACCAGGTTGGCCACCAATTGAGTTATTGTGGTTGTTGTTTTTTCCAACCACAGCAACCTGCAAAGACCATCTACTAAGGTGTAGGGGCAATTGTGATCTGTGTTGGTTGTTGGAATATCCACACCAAGTAAATTATGGACTTTGAAAGTATTGAGGTTTACTTATGATGATGATGATGATGATTAATATTGGCCAATTGTTGCAGCCCATCAAAACCTTTTGTAATCTGAGTCAATCTACTCTATTAGCGATATGAACTATAATCCCAGCTTTATGTCATCCACATATTTGATAAATATGCCTTTTATGTGCATTCAAGTTATGCATACAAAAGTTGAATAAGGCAGGATGAGTTCAGAGTTCTGTGGTATACTATTTAGAGATCATCCTCCAACTTGATATGGATCCATTAATGACATTATTTGGGTATGGTTTAATTTTCTCCCAAATCATTCTTCAATGTTTCCATCAGTGACAGATTCCTAGGCTTGTGTGGACCATGGGACTGACATAAGACTCTTCACAGGAGGAAAAAAGTCAGAAACAATAAGGTTCCCCAATGTGCCCACAAAACAGCCCATGCTCAGTCTTGTCCTACAATTCTCCCAAAAGTTGCTTAAGTATGAGGTTGGGTATGGTGGCAGATAGATTCTTGTACAAAAAGCTCCAACCCCATTAGCTTTTTCAACATCCGTTCCTGGCTCATATTGAGTTAGTGGTTTTCTGAACTGATGCCAAACCAGAGGTTTCTCTCATTCTGTTCTCATGCAATTGATTTTGGTCTCTACCTTCTGGAAGATTTGAGTCAGATTGCCAGACATCAGTGACACTGATGCCTGAAGGAAGGACGCAGAGATAGCTGGCTGGGCCTGGGAAAAGGTCAGTGGAGAGGAGGTGGCCCCATCCTCCCAGATTCAAGGTGAAGGCAGAATGGCGGTGGTTGTTGGAGCCATAGCCATGGGAGTCCTGTGCTCAGAGCAGGCAGAAACCTTCAGCTATCCCAATGACCTGAGGCTGTGTTGAGTTTCAGTCTCTTTTTTTTCCCCCACAGTTCCCAGGAGGATTCCAAGACCTCCTGCTTCCTCAGAATCACTTTGCCATGTTCCTGTACTGCTTCATCTTCATTCATGTCATCTACGTCACCAAGGAGATGATTTTCTTCCTCTTCACTAAGCATTACCTCTTCTGCATTGCTGCCATTCTGCTCTGTTTGATTAAAACCTTGTGGTCTTATGTCCCTGTGCCCCCCTGCTCTACCCACCTAATGGTCCACCATGGAAACTTAACTTTCAAGTAGGCAAAGTTGTCCTCACCTTTCCTATCCTGATCCCTCCCTCTCTGGTATTCTCTCTCATTCTCAGGCATCAGACAATTCCACCACTCCCAAACATGTTCTGAAGAAAGGGATAATATGTATTGTTTCTGTGCTCCGTCTCACATGCTTTTTTCAGGCTTCTCTCATTTTGAAAGGGAATGTATTTTGTTCCTTGATAAAGGAATTTCATATACCAGCTAAAGGGTTGGAAAGCTGTTTTGGAGGGGAGGGTGACTTTCAAAATCAATATCACCTCCAAGATCAGGATGAGCTGTTTTGGAGAAGAGGAGTCCTCCTGAGATCAATCAGCTCCAAGTGGGGAGATAGGAAATGATTGATGGCCCACCCTATGACCGCTAACCTAACCAACTTTTCTGAGATTTGTGGAGTCAGAAAATGCAGGATTCTTTTTCACTTCTGCCTGGAAGTAGATGCATTATTATCAGAAAGTTTCTCTCAAAAGTCCTGTTAACCTAGGACTCTAAGTGAGACCCTATGTAAAAACAATGACATAGACCATGGCAGCCAGACTGAAAAGAACGTAATAGATGGGCAGGCAATCATAAAATATTGACCTGTGAAGGATCTTAGAAGTTATCTTGTCCCAGGTGATCTCGTTAGTGCTCAGCAATTCTGAGCTAGAAGGGAGAGAGGCCTGAGCATCTGTGCCAGTGATGTCCAAACTTTACGTAGCAATCCCCCCCTTTTTATATTTTTTCATAAAATGATCGATGCAAATAATTCTCTTAGCTTGCATTTTATTCAAGTAAAGAATTTATTAAATGTTTATGGCACAAAAATCTTAAATATATAATAAAATAAAATAGCACAACATACACAGGAATTTATTGATAGATTAAATTCTTCTCAATTTCCTTAATTATAAAAAATAAGTACAATAATAATACTATGGCAGTGTGGCATTAATAGAGAAGCAGGCTTAAAGGTTAAGAAAACTTGAGTTCAAGTCCCAGGCATGATACAGGGGTTGTGGGACCCTGGTCAACTTCTTTGTGCCCCAGGCAACTCTGTGCAAACTGCAGGTGAAGATTTGCATTAGTAGAAGGCGTTTCCTCCCAGGGAGTTCCTTATACCAATGAAATCACAAGTCCAGGCTAATAACAGTATACAGTTACCCCTTCCACATCATGGGGCTTAGAGGTGCAGCGCTCCCACAGTCTAAAAAATTTGAGTAAAAATTTTTGGCCCTTGCTTCATACCAGAGAAGAAGTCTGATTTTTTTTTTTCTTTAACTTTTATGGGCTGTTTATAGTAACTTATTGTAAAATTTGGAGTATCTAATTATAGGCTCTGTGTCGTCAGATGGTCTTAACGTGTCATCTGCAGCTTCCACAAAACTCCCCCAAAATTCCCATTTATGCCAACCCACAATATATGGTAACCATGATGGGACAAGTCGTGATGTGGAAAGGAAAACTGTGTTATTAATATGCTGGGGAGGCTTCTCTTTTGGTGCAGTTTTCCAAAGCCTGGTGCCACTGATGACTTTGCTACTCCTCATCCTTTTTCAGTCACGATTCAAGACTTATTATTTTTTATAAAACATGCATTATATTTTATTGTACAATATACACACAGCAGGAAACTTTCATACAAATAATACATTATGAATGGTGGTGAAATTTGTATCATGTAGTTTGACAATGCCAAGAACTCTATATATGTAACCAAAACATAATAATACTTTTCAGTTTCAAATTCTCATTTCAAACCAATGGCACAAGTCTGTTGACTGTTCCTACTCACAGAAGCAGCTAGGTGGAATAGAGAAGGGGAAGGACTTGAAGTAAGGGAGACCTGAGTTCAAATCTGTCCTCCGACACTTAGGAGCTGTGTGTCCCTGGGCTAGTTGCTTACCCTTTGTGTCTGTTTCTTCATCAGTAGAATGAGGATAATAATAGCATTGAGTTCACAGGGTCATTGTGAAAATCAAATGAGTTCATATGTAAAGTGCTTTGAAAACCTTAAAGCATTATATAAATGATAGCTGTAAATGTTTTATATTTGTCCATGGCAAATGGGTTCCTTATTCATTTTTATCATCTAGATCTTTAAAATCAAATTAGAAGTGTTTCTGTGGAGTAGTCAATTGACTAAGAAGCAAATCTTTACTTTCTGCTGGGTATTTTAAAAATTAGGAAATATTTTTTAAAAATTGTAAACGTATTATTCATAGCTCTTTTTCCATGAATGTGTAGTTACTTTTTCTTTCTGAATCAGTATATGATTTGGGGACCTTTCGTTAATTTATTTGGAGTATTTAGATATTTTGGATATGGTGAACAGAAAGATGGAAGAGTAATCACTTTCTCAAGACTTTTTCAATCCCACAGCCTCAAAAAGAAAGGGATCATGAATCAAATCTAGAGAAATTACCACTGATTCCATAAGATCTGATGGCAGAACCACCCCCTCCTAGACATACACACAAGGTTAAACACCCCATACATTAATGCCAGAGAACCCTAATGTTTAGAACTCCCATTCAGAGCGCCCTTTCCCCACCCCTGCCACAGCAAACTCAAATTTTCAGGCTTTTGAGTCCTGGTCATAGGGTAGATCACAGGGTAGCCATGTACCCCGTGGCTACAGTGGAGTTGACCAAACATGCTACCCCTACCAAGAAGGATGACCTTGGGCAAGTCATTTAATTTCTCTTGGTCTCATTTTCCGCATCTCTAAAATGAGGGAGTCAGACTCAGTAGCCTCTAAGTCTCCCTTCAGTTCTAAATCTATTGTCTTATGATCCTATGATATGTAAGGGGAAGGAAGAATCAGGTGGGCTTAAAAAAACATGCCTATGGAAGCAGCTTGATTCAGAGTCCTAGTATACAAGAAGATAAACAACAGAGAAGACTTTTAAAACAGGATGAGGAAAATCCCAGAGAAACCAAAGCATGGTAAGAAAACCATAAGGCAAATGAACCAATAATGCCTGTTGAAAGAACGTTATCACTTCCCCAGAGGTTGTGGAACCACAGAGACTCCAGAATGGTTCAAAAGAGAAAATCCATAAAAGAGATTAGGACTGAATTTAAAGTAAGAAATTATAGCTTGCACTGATTGCAGGATTACAAAACAATTATCAGAGTAGGAAAAATTAAATATATGGAGAATTTCTCCAAAGAAATAGGAGCTATGTGAGAGAGAATGACAGATTTGGAACACAAAAGCACTGAAATGGAGGAAAAATCAGCAGAAGAGAAGTGAATGGCAACATTTTTTAAAAAATATGGCGATTTAGAATGCTTTGTGGTTTGGTAATTTCAGTCATATCCTATTCTTTGTGAAACCATTTGGAGTTTTCTTGCCAAAGATACTGGAATAGTTTGCCACTTCCTTCTCCATCTCATTTTATAGATGAAGAATTAATGCAAACAGGGTTAAAAGACTTGCCCAGAGTCACACAGCTAGTAAGTGTCCAAGGCCAGATTTGAACTCAGGAGGATAAGTCTTCCTGACTCCAGGCCTGGCACTCCATCTACTGCACCTACCTGCCAATTTAGAATGCTCAGTTTTGGGAGGTTTTGTTTTTGTTTTTGTTTTTTTCGTTTTGTATTATTCTCATTTGGTTTTTTTTTTTCCTTCAAAATAATCCTCCAAACATGGACAATTCTGGTGAGATGGTGGAATGACAGAAAATACCAGGCTCTCCAAATTTCTCCCTCCAACAAGACAAAGTATCACCACGAAGTGAACTTTGAGTGTCACAAATAATTAAAAGTCAGGGTAAAGCAGTTGTCTTAGGACAACTTGACCGGACCGCGGAGGCAGGAGATTGATCCCATTGAAGTGCAAACACCTCAAGGCTGACCCTGCTGAATCAACAAACAACAAGCCTTGGGGGAGTGGGGAGGTGGGGGTAGCAGTCTTTGCTTCAGGAGCTTTTACTTCTTGGACAATGTGAGGGGTCAAACAGCTGAGCAGGGAAAGATTGAAGGACGCTTGGCTATCTTGGGATGCAAGGGCCAGTTGTGCAGACCAGACATGGTCCTACGTCGTGGCTGTGGGAGAGGATGAGTGAGCATACACCCAGTGAGCGCAGTAGCGGGAGAGTGAGGACCCTGCTGCTATGGGCACTTGCAGGAGAACGGAGTCCCTGGTTTCACTTCTAGGACAGAGGGGTGAGCTGAAGTCTGCAGCCTTGGGAGGGACCGCAGGAAGCAAGAGCATATGTGGTAACAGCTTGGCTGGGAGCTCTAGCTGTGGCTCAGGAGTAGAGAGGAGTGCCCAAGGTCAGGCTCCAGACAGAGCTTAGAAAACAACAATTAAAAAAAAAAAGCCTGCAGCCTCCTACACCTCAGGACTAGACCCTGACTCTAATAATAATCTGCTTTAAAAATAAAAAAAAATAAAAATTAGTAAGCAAAGGAGAAAGAACCCAGAAGATCTGGGTTCTTACTCAGAAGCAGATAGTGATGTTTTTAAAAGTCACTTCTACTTCAAAGAAAAATGTCAAATGGTCACAAGCCCAAAAAAAAGTTTTTGGAAGAGCTTAAAAAGGACTTTAAAAATCAAATAAGATGGGGGCAGCTAGGTGGCACAGTGGATGGAGCACCGGCCCTAAAATCAGGAGAACTTGAGTTTAAATCCGACCTCAAGCACTTGACAATTACTAGCTGTCTGACCCCGGGCAAGTCACTTAACCCCAATTGCCTAAATTTTTTTTTCATTTTTTTATTAATTTCTTTTGATTTATCAATAATCACTTCCGTATGCTTTTGAGTTTAAAATTTTTCTCCCCCTTCCTCCCCACCACCCTCCCCAAGACGGCACATAATCTGATATAGGCTATACATTTACATTCATATTAAACATATTTTCACATTAGTGATGTTGTAAGTAGAATTAAAACCAATAGGAGGAACCATCAGAAAGAGGAAACAAAACTCAACAGAAGAGAAAAAAATTAGCAATTTGGCTTCCGTAGTTCTTTCTTTGGGTGTGGATAGCATTTTCCA